CCTTGGCTGGCTTGCTGTCCTTGGCTGGTCCCTGGCTGGTCCTTGGCTGGTCATTGGCTGGTCTTTGGCTGGTCCTTGGCTGGTCCCTGGCTGGTCCTTGGTTGGTCCTTGGTTGGTCCCCTACAATCAGTCTTTAAAGGTCAATCCTTGAACTAAAATACTCTGTCATGATTTGTGAACATTAAGATCTAAAGAGAAGCGCCATCTCCTGGTCAGACCCTGTAATTCAGTGAAAGGGTGGAGTCAGAGTAAAAGAATATGCAAGAGGGGGGGTCACTGCAGTGGTTGGAAGTTGGAGGTGATTTCACTGGGAGTTGCAGGGAAGTTGGCTGCCATTAGGGTTAGACTGGGAAGGGTCATTCTGAATGGCTGCTACTGTAAACCTTGAACTGTGAAACCTAATCCCAGAACCTGAAGCTGCCGCCTCCATGAGATGCTTAGATGTTCTTCTCATGATGTTTTGGATTGGTTCAGAGGGAAGCTTTACCTTTCAGTCTGTGCCCAAAAATTCTCCAGAACATAACTGAAGGATTATCTTTGGAAGGAAAAACTTCTGCTTTTCTAACCCTGGGTTGAAAACCAGAGGAAACCAGCAGGGAGCATCTGGTTTAACTGGTTCCCATTTCAAACTTAGTACTTTAACATATTGATGTTAAGCTTTTAAATGGCTGAATTGCTGCTTATTAACATTATTCTGTCTAAATCGTTTGAGATCTGCCAACTCACTCTGGAACTGATAGAGGAAGTTGCTGGTTGTTCCCCACTCCCACTTCAGAATAAGAGGCACCAGTTGCTTTGTAAGGAAGGAAACTGGAGGAAACATATTGGAGAGGAATTAGTTTTCCTTCACAGTCTGCAGTGATGCTGCTGCAGGTCTGGTTCTGTGGTCTACAGACTGGATGTTCTGAAAGCTCCTTCCTCCAGACTTTGGCTCCAACTCTCAACGGCTTCCACCAGCTCCAGACTCCAGCGCTGAAACAGACGTGTCCTCTCCTCTGGACTCAGAGACTCCAGCAGAACGGACCGGTCATGGTTCACCTTGTCTGGAAGAGAAGGGTGGGGGACGTTAGTCAGTTTCTCCTCCAATCATCACTGGATGACAGAGAGATGAAGAAACGTTGAACCATGCAGGGTTTTCTGCAGCGTCTCCAGTTCACGCAGGGCGCTGGGATCCTTAATGGAGCTCGAGGTGAGACTTATCAGGTGATGGAGCACGCTGTACATGAGAAGATATTCCTGGACGGCGCCTTCTACAGGCACTGTAACAAACACATGAGAAAAGGTCAATCCCCCACCGCGCCGCCAACATGTGTGTGTTTCCAGCTGTGGTTACCGTTCAGCCAGGGAGGGAGGACTTCCATGACAGGTTCCTCATGAGCCAGAGCACAGCCTAAAATCCCTGCAGAGCAGAACTACAAGTTGACAGTTCATGGTTACTGTGGACATGGAGGACAGCAGGTATGTGGAGGGAAAATGCTGCTCAGATAGAATTTAGATATAGTCCTGTATGATAATGACCCATTTCCCTTCATTTCAATTCTATACAATTAATTTCTATGGCTCCAATTCACATCATGTAATCTCAGGTCACTTTATAGATCCAGATCAACCAGATCATCCAGTCAGATTGATTCAAAGTTTTCTATCTAAGGAAAACCAGCTGATTGCATCGACTCATTGACTCTTCAGCAATCCCTCACACTAAGCATGCTTGTAGCAACAGTGGAGAGGAAAAACTCCCTTTGAACAGGAAGAAACCTCCAGCACAGCAAACAATAATTTCTATTATGTCATATAGTTACATAAATCTTAAATTTCTGGATAAATATCTTAGTGAGTGAATGTTTCCTGAACCTGTTTGTGGATCGTTAGTCTGTCCAGTCATCAAAGGAAATCCTTTAGTTACAATCATTGAAACATCGCATTACTGAAGCTTTAACTCTGGAAGATAAAGCTTTATGCAAACAATAAACTGTAAACTGCTTCCCTGACTGCCTGGTTTCAACAAACACCTAAAATGTTTCTGGGTTTCCATCAGGATCAGGACAACCATGGTCCATTTAGTGAATAACCTTTATGGTTGGGTGTGAATGGGAGGGTTGTGAATCCAGAGCAGGAAGTATGAAGGTCAGCAGACCCACCTCCAGAGAGCAGACTAAGCCAGCACTGGTCTTACTGGAGTCAGTGGGAATTATTAGCTTCTGTTGGTTAAAGGAGCTCTATGAATGCATTAATGCTGCTGAAACAGCCTGTAAGTCAGCAGCTCTGAGGATCTCGGCCCATATTTCAGAGAATGGGAGGTTTTAGGACTCACCTTGGAGTCTGACCATGTCCATCTCTGCTTTCTTCTCTATCAGCTCCCCATTCTGGAACTTGCTCCCCAACAGGGGCGTGTGGACGAAGAGCTCTAGCTCGGTGAATCCGGCCTCATGGGGACTCACCTCGAACCATTTCCCTTCAGGACAAAGGAGACGACTTCACCCTTCAGAAAGGTCAACCCCTCCTCCAGCGGCGGTGAGTGTTTACCTCCCAGCGGCCCGTTGGAGAAGCAGTGTTTCTCGATGGCGCAGTAGATGGGGTAAGGGTTGCTGGCGTTCCTGCTGGCCTCCTCTGACAGAAGGCGTAGATCCATCTGAGGACGTATACCGAGTTTCTGTAAAGAATCATCACACCTGGGAGCTCAAGGTGTTCGCATGTCCAACCTGTTTCATGATACCGGCAGAGGTTAGGACTCCCCAGATGTCAGAGAGGGAGAAGTGCTCCTCCTTTGAGGTCTCAGCCAACCAGGCCAGAGCCTCCTCCAGCTGCACGCCGGGACCCGACAGCCTGGACACGGCTTCATCCATGTTGGAGCTCCACTGGGGGTCACTGTAGAGCGAGGCCATGGACCTAAGGAGGAACCAGGATATCAGAGACTGTAGAATCACACCTGGAAATGATTTCCTTTAGTTCATATTCTGGATCTAAAGCTGAAAGATGCTTCATTTCATTTTGATGATTAGCAGCAGAATAAAGGGCGTAACATCCTGAAACTGACCAATAAACGTGGAGCAACCAGCTATTACTGCTCAGAGTGAGGCCTCCTGCTGACGGGAGGCCAGGGGCGCAGCAGCTGCACGAATTCAACGTTGAAGACCATTAAATATTGATGTGTTTGCAGCCTGAGTTTCCTCTCCAGACTACTTTCTTCTAGAACCAAACATATTTTACTTCAAACCTTGCATCATATTATTAGAGGAATTATTCAAAGGGAAAATATCAGGAGGTTATAGCTGATGACTCTTCCAGCCTCCAAGTGTTGGAAGAAGAATCCAGAACTTCCTCAGACCAACCGTCCCGATGGCTTTAGATCGCTGTTCTGAATTCCCTGAAGGTTCTGCAGCTTTTAGGTTTCTCTCTGCTTCGTCAGACAGAAACCTCTGACTGATATGATCTCGTTACCGGAGCTGGGGGGGTCTGAGAGCTCTGATCTAGATGGCTCTACCTGCAGCTGAGCACAGCAGCAGACTGATGACTGACCGGCTTCAACACAACAAACATTCAGTTAGCTTCTAATGAGCTCCAGATGCTTCTTCTTTCTAGGGTTTCTGGTGGGCGGGGCCAAGCAGCGTGTCGGTGGAGAGGAGGGAGATGTGGAGCCATCAAGTCAGAAAAGCTGACGCTAGAAGCTGTCACTGTTTCTGCATAGCTGTCTGGATGTTACAATAAATAAATATCAAAGGATTAAACTCCAAAGCTGGAAGGATGGATTATGAAGAAGGAAAAGAGGTTTTCAGCCTGTTTCTACTTCCCTCCAGTTTCCAGCTCATTCTGAGGAAATATGGCTGGTTGCTTAGTTACCATGTCGATCCAGAAACTCCTCCCAGGTAAAGCAGAGTGTCCAGCAGGGCTTCCTGTTCCAGCTGGTAGAGGAAGCCCAGCAGAGCCACCGCTGCCCTCTGACCTCCACCAGAAGCCACCAGAGCAATGTGAGGAACTGAGTCCTGGAAAAGAAACCAGGAAAATCAGACCAGAGGCTCCTTACATTTCTGTTTGTTATATTTCTATCCATTTAGGATCTTTTTCAGATCTTTAGATTGATGTTGTGGCATTTATTACGCCGCCTGTTTCCTGCAGCGGGTTTAACAAACTCAGACTCAACTCTGAATTGATCTGTCCTGAGCTTTTTAGTTCGTTTAACTCAGATCTCCAGCTGCAAAATTACATTTTTACAGCAGAAACTGCATTTCAGAAAGAAAAAAGAAAAAAGAATTATACCAGTAAGAATTAATTTAATATATAATAATAGAACTTTATTAATCTCACTCTGGGGAAATTTACCTCTGCATTTAACCCCTCCCCTTAGGGAGCAGTGGGCTGCCATTGTGCGGCGCCCGGGGAGCAGTGTGGGATTAAGGGTCTTGCTCAGGGACCCAGAATGAAGGCGGTGGAGATTGATCCGGGGACTGCATCCTTCTCAGAGTGCACTGCTCTGCCCACTAGGCCAACACTCCCCATGTCTATAACTGTTTACACATTTATTAGTTTGTTATCAGCGGTGAAGGACGCATGCTGCTGAACTGGAGCGTCAACTGGAGCGGGTTCATCTTTACATGAGTCTATTTCTTTAATCTGTAGCGAGGAAATGAATTAGTCAAAGTTTAGCTTGATTAAATATATTCAGCATTAATTGGAGGTTTTATGGCATCTTACTGGCTGATGTCCTTCAGCAAGCAGGTTGATAGTTCAAGTCCCAGCATGGAGTTTCTACGTTCTCCTCATTGAGGTGGAGGTTCAAAAACATCAATGTAAGATGATTCAGTCCTCAGGACCAACTGTGTCTCAAAGATTCATTTCCTCCTCAGTAGCAATTCAGTTATTCTATTCAGTTTATTTCTATAGCTCCAATTCACATCATGTCATCTCAGGTCACTTTATAAATCCAGATCAACCAGATCATCCAGTCAGATTGATTCAAAGTTTTCTATCTAAGGAAAACCAGCTGATTGCATCGACTCATTGACTCTTCAGCAATCCCTCACACTAAGCATGCTTGTAGCGACAGTGGAGAGGAAAAACTCCCTTTGAACAGGAAGAAACCTCCAGCAGAACCAGGCTCAGTGTGAGCGGCCATCTGCTGAGGCCCACTGGGGTTCAAGGAGACAGAAGCAGAGCAATCAAGAAGCCTGTTAATCAGCCGGTTACTGAGGGCAGGTGTGAAGGAAACACCTAAAACCTGCAGGAAGGGATCCAGAGGTGGACTGCACCGTCTGTAAGCAGGGCTCTGGTCTCTGTGTTGGACTGAGGAGCTCTCCAGGTCACCATGCAGTGCTGAGGACGCGCTATATGAGCCCTTTTCTTCTTCCTGTCCTTCAAGAAGTCTGAGCACGCCACATTTTACTGCTCTAGAAACGCTACTAGTGTCACCTTGAACATCAGCTATTAACAGGTTAGTTTTTATGTGAATAATATGAACCACATACTTATTCAACAGAAGGCTTGATGCCAGTTTTTATTCAGAGAATATGAACAGAAAAGTCTTTCTTACCTCAGTGGAGTTGATTTGCAGACGGCTTAGTGCTTCCAGAACCAGTTGTTTTCTCCTGATGACATACTGCTGCTCTCCGGCACACAGAGACGAGGAACGACGAACGGGAGTCTGGAGAGAATCCATGGCAGGTTTTCAGTTTCCTCTACCTAATTATCAAGGTTTTAGCTGAGAGGAAACAGACTAACTGCTCTATCAACTCTGCTGTTCATCCTCTGGGTCGTGTCCTCAGCCTCCACTTCACTTCTTAGCATTCTTAACTTTATGTTCGGTCATTCATCCGTTCATTAAAGCATTGATGGTTCTGTGTGTGAACGGGTGAATGAGTCTCCTACATAAGTACAGGAAAAAATGGGATATTTCTGATTGGTGCAGCTGGAATATCTTTATATGTTCGATTATCCTTAACTGTCTGATGCAGATGTTTATTAACAGCCTGCTGGTTGGTTCCCTCAACAATCATAGCAGCAAAGTGTCATGATCTGGCCTGTTTGCTCCTCCCTTAATTAGTCATTCCTTTCACCTGTCGTTTTCCCTCCCTGCCTTAATTATCATTTATTCCTCTCACCTGTTTCCTCTGGTTTATATTCAGTTCAGCCTGAGCATTCAGGGCCAGATCATTGCTTGTCTTTCTGTTAGTCTTTCTGTTCAGTTTTTGCCTTGGTTCATGTCCTGGATCCTAGCAGCCAGTGGAAAGAGGGTTTTAGTGTTTGTCTCGTCTCCTGATCGTCCACTGTTCCTCCCCCGCGGAGTCCTCTGGGTTTTTGGCTCATTATGGGGGGAGGTTCAGTTTTTATCCAGTAAGCCTGGCTCCAGGGAGGAGACCAGTTTAAAGTCTGCTTCAAGTTCCGGTTCCTACGTCCTGTCTCTGCTACCCTCTTCCACTGTGCCTGCCTGTCTGCACCTGATCCTGTCTGCTCCTGTGCGTGACCACCTGGTCATGCTTCTGGTCCCTGTCAGACTCTGAACCCTCCTGGAAGCCTGTGGATGCCTGGAAGTCTGGATCATGTCACCTGTCTCTGTTCCTGCCTGATCTGGATCCCTCACCTGGATCGGCTTCCAGCATCACCTCTGGGACTGCAGCACTGGGGACACTCGTGGTCTGGACTGTTAAGCCAGGTAAGTGACCAACACAGATAATCTTCTATCAGATGATCGTGGTCACTTACCTGTGTTTCTCCCCCAGAGTGTCTGAGATTGGGCGGTGCCCCGCCCCCCCGCCTGCAGTGTCCGCGAGCAACAGCTCCGCTTTTGTTTTGTTTTTATTTTAATAAATCTTTTGAACTTTCCTACTGACTGTCTCTCCTGTATACTGGGTCCATCTGTCCTCGTTTCATGACACAAAGACCCATTAGAGTCTAGAAAACACATCAATTCATAAACCAGATCGAACAAATAGATGAGTTCAGCCCAGAGATGAAAATGCTGCAGCCAGAGTTCTAATGAAAATGAAAAAGAGAGATCATATCTCTCCTATCCTGGCTTCTCTTCATTGGCTTCCTGTTAAATCCAGAATAGAATTTAAAATCCTCCTTCTCACATATAAAGCCTTAAATGGCCAAGCTCCATCTTATGTCAGAGATCTGATTGTTCCTTATGTTCCTAACAGAGCACTTCGCTCTCAATCTGCAGGTTTACTAGTGGTTCCTAGAATTTCTAAAAGTAGAATGGGAGGCAGATCTTTTAGTTCTCAGGCTCCTCTCCTGTGGAACCAACTACCAGTTTTAGTCCGTGAGGCAGACACCCTGTCTACTTTTAAGGCTAGGCTTAAAACTTTCCTTTTTGATAAAGCTTCTAGTTAGAGTGGCTCAGGTTATCCTGATCTATCTCTATAGTTCTGCTGCTATAGGCTTAGACTGCTGGAGGACATAGGGACCCCTTTTTCATCATTCTGCTTCATTCTATCTCTATTCTCCCACTCTGCAGAATCTGTTAGTTCAATCTCTAACGTTCTGCTCTCTCTGCTTTTTCTCATAGTAGCTTCATCTGGTCTGTTCCTGTTTGGCTGTGACTCCATCCTGGAGAGAAATATCAGCTGTGCTGCTGCCATCAACACCTTTGTTTCTAGATGTTGGAGCTTGGCCTGTTTTCCAGTGTAGTCCTGTTTCTCTGACTGTGACTAACTGGATGTGCTCTCTTCATCCTCTGGCATGGGAGCTGGCTCGGAGCTCGTCTGCCTGGCTGTGTGTTTCCTGGACGGGGCCGCCTGTGGAGCTGGTTGACAGTTGCCTTTTGTATCTATGCTTCTTTTTCTATGTCTGCTTCTGTCTCCTTGAACCCCAGTGGGCCTCAGCAGATGGCCGCTCACACTGAGCCTGGTTCTGCTGGAGGTTTCTTCCTGTTCAAAGGGAGTTTTTCCTCTCCACTGTCGCTACAAGCATGCTTAGTGTGAGGGATTGCTGAAGAGTCAATGAGTCGATGCAATCAGCTGGTTTTCCTTAGATAGAAAACTTTGAATCAATCTGACTGGATGATCTGGGTGAACTGGAAAGTGACCTGAGATGACATGATGTGAATTGGAGCTATAGAAATACACTGAATAGAACTGAGTATCAAGTGAAAATCACCACATGTCATCTCAAGGTGCTTTACAGAGAAAATAGAGGAAAAGCAGCTGGTTTCATCCGGCCATTGCCCAGCAGGATGTGCTCCTCCTGGATCTGCAGCAATCCCTCACACCCAGCTTTTAAATCCACACATTGGGCCAAACGGGAGACCTGCAAAGCACAGACCTGCAGCAAATAGAACGATTATACAAAATACATGCAGAGCGAAACGGCTGCAAGTAACTAGCTTTGCATAACAGTTGTAATCCAGGCCACTAGGGGGAGACAGCCATCAATGCTAGTGAATATCCAGATTTTCTTTGATTCTATTTTGACCCTCTGATCTGTGATGCCTAGTAAAGGTCGGGAGGGTCGCCCTCCATACCTCATCCATCCTCTTTGACTTGTAGGACACATTCTAACCAGCTTGCTCTGATTTTCTAATCACAGAACAAAATGCTTCACAGAAAAGCAGAAGAAAGTTTCCCTTTGTTTCTGTTCTCTGTTCATTGTTCTGTCTAGTAATTGTCATGTAACTTCCACAGCTCAGATACCACATCATGACGGGGACAACACCCTGCAATTGAGGAACATCAAGAAGCAGCTCCATGCAGAACGGGCGCTCCTATCTGTTAAGCCTGCAGTGGATGACAGTCCTCCCTGTAGAGCAGCGCTTTGCAGACCTGGTCCCTGGAACTTACTGTCCTGCTCTTTCTGAATGTTTCCACCCATCTAACTCCAAGTACCGGGCGACTAATGAAGCGCAGCTGGATGCAGTCGATGGATGAGGTGCTGAGCAGGACAGCAGGGCCTGATGGCGGAGTTTGAAAAGCACCGCTGCAGAGCTCACACTGAAACCTCAAACCCTGTCTTCTGAATGAGAGGCTCACCTCAGAGGCTGTGGTGTTTCCCTCCATGTTCTCCGCCGCTTCCACCAGCACTGCACCTATAAGCAGCA